CCCCCCCACATGCTCCTGCCCTCCCCACTCCCACCACATGGACTTACCAGCTGGAAGCAGCTGTATCAGAAATTGGATCGGTATCAGCCGATATGCCTCCTTAAATATTGGCCCCCAACATCTCTATTGATGCACCCCGAATAAAAACAAAATACTGAAACAAATTGGATGTTGAATAAGATCTAAGACTGGTACTGTCAGGTGTCCTACCAAATTTTCATGTGCTTTCTGCCACGAAGCAAAGTCAACCATCTCGTTAGAACTGACGACAAATAGCGAGTTCACAAAACTGCATTATTGTTATTGTTGTTGATATTATTTTTAACACAACCGTTTGTCAGTAATTATCTATTTGTGTTTGCTATACACACACATACAATAGATGTCCAAGGGGGTCCACACCTCTATTGTAAATTGTCCACAAAGGAAAAAAGGTTGGGGGAGGAAATCACTGGACTAGTCCAACCCCTTGCTCAAAGCAGGACCATCTACAGCTATATCCTCCCAGCCAAGACTTTGTCTGTCTGAGTCTTAAAAATGTCTAAAGATAGAGATTACACAACCTCTCTGGATAGCCTGTTCCAGTGCTTTACTAACCTCCTAGTGAGAAAGTTTTTTCTAATATCTAACCCAAACTTCCCTTGCTGCAGCTGAAGACCATTGCTCCTACTTCTGTCATCTGCCAACACTGAGAACAGTCCAACTCCATCCTCTTCAGGTAAAACTTCTGTGTTTACCCTGTACTAATACCATTTGAATTAACACCCCACACAGGATATTTTAGACAGTAGTCAGGGATGTAAATGGTTAAACAATTATATTTATACCATTTATTATTAGTGACCTCCGGCAGGAACTGCCCTGGCCCCTTGTATCTTCACCATGTGCCTGGCACTGCATAGGCCCCAGGCTGCTGGTGGAAAGCTGTGTGTGGGGAGGAGGGGGCCGTGGCTGAGCCACTAGGGGACATTGCCCAGCTGCAGAGCTGTGGCATCCCCTTACCCCTGCAGGCAGGAGCCAGGGATGCAGACTTCTTCTGTGCCTGGATCCCACCACCACAGGGAGGGAGGTGCTGCACACACCCAGAGGGGTCAAGCAGGATCTTACTGCTGCAGCAGTGAGACTCTTGGCCTCACGGCATGTCTGCCCGGCCCCCCTGCAATGGTGGGGTCCAGGCAGGGAGACAGGCTCCCTGTGCCTACTGCTACACTTGTGCTGCCACATTTATGCTGCCATGGCCTGGACCTAGAAGGCTCCTCTGCATTGCTGGCCAGACCCTCCCCAGCTTGTCCCCAGGGAAGGGGAGATCCAATCTCAGTGAGGTGGCCTCTGCCAAGTGAGCTGTGTCCTTTGCCCTCCTGTCCATGGCACTGGGGCTGTGTGGGGCCTGACCCAACGCCGAGGCAAGGCTGAACACATGGCTTGCTTGGCCCAAGGAGGTACCAGGGCAGCTGAAGCAGGCAATGCCAGATCTGAGGGGTTGCCACCGGCCCCTTGCACTCACCCTCTGACCCAGCACCACCTGCTCCAGCTGCCCAAGGTGCCTCCTTGGGCTGAACCAACCATGGGCTCAGCCCCACCTCAGGACTGGACCAGGTCCTAGCACCACAGGTGGGAGAAGAAAGGATGCAGCACGCCTGCTGGAGGCCACCTCATTGAGACCAGACCTCTCCTTCCCTTGGGAGCTGGGGAAGGGCCAGCTCAACAGTGCAGAAGAGCCTTCCAGGTCCAGGCCACAGCAGCATAAGCATGGTGGGAGGTGCAGGGAGCCCATCTCCCTGCCTGGGCCCTGTTGCTGCAGGGGAACCAGGCAGACTCACCACCAGGAGCCTTCTTGCTGCTGCAGGAAGGCTCCCCGACCCCAGCACCACCCTCCCATGGTAGCAGGATCTGGGCATAGGAGAGGTCCACAGCTCCAGCCCCTGCCCGTGGGGGCAAGGGGAAGTAGCTGCTCCACACCTAGGCAACATCCCCTGCCAGACACACAGTGAAGACATAAGGGGCCAGCGCTGTTTCTGCTGGAGGTCACTATACTAGGTATGTGCTACTGGTTAACTTTTAAACCAATATAATTAGAGGAGGTAAAAGGATCATTTAAAAACAATTTCTACATCCCTAACAGCAGTACTCAGAGAAGCAAACATATTAGCAGTATTCTTGTATGAAACATTTTACTCATGCTCTCAGGGTTGATACTAATGTCCTCTACATTGTAGAGTACTGACCCAGGATATTTATCTTTCACATCTAAGCCACCACTTTGCTCAACACTGACTGCTGGAAGAAACAAGAAGCATTTTGTTCCCCACCTCCATCCTGAACCACTTAGCTGATCCAAGGGTAGGTAAGGTTTCCTCTATCTTCCCCCTCCACTTTCTGGCTGCTTTAAGGAGGCACGTTGCTCCCTGATACTCTACTTCTGCCACAGGCTCCATTTTGTGACCCCTCCTCTCCAGCAAACCATCTTAGCAGAAGAGTCAATCTGAACTGATAGCTGCTCACAGGGTAGAAATGGATTAAACCTTATTTTCAGTCTGCTGAAGCAGCAGTAACACTGGATCCTTCTAAGTCTGGAATCATCAGGTTACTACCATTTTATACATGGAAGGTTAGTTTTGTATCATAAAAGCTACAGATACAATTTGTAAAATTACAATGAAATTAAAAACTTAATCTGAAGTGTACGTACTTCAAATACTGGTAGCATACACCAGAATAGCTTTATTCTGATCCAAATCAGTGGATCTGCTCAAACCTAGTACCAGTTGTGCAGTCCAGCTTCTTCCTTACTTGCTAACAATGCTTAAGCCTAGCAACAAGCAATCAACTGCTTGTATTACATTACCTCATACAGACTTTTTGGAGGAAGTTTCCTGCATGACATTTATTTTTATGATGGCAGACAGTTTTAAAAGGCAGTAAGTCTGTACAAAAAGAGTCTTTACTGCTTCTAAAGGATTCTCACAATAAATAAGACACACCTCAGATACTTAACTACTGGAATTTCTGAAGCAAGCTAGAAGTTATACATCACTAAACTACTGTTCTACAGATCTTGATCCATAATTTGCTGGTCAATCCTATGCTCATTGGTACTGACACTGCACACTTGCACAAAAAGCCTGATCAATTTCCCCAACAGACTTGGAAGAAAATCATTTTATTTTCATATATGACACACATGTTTCTCCAATTCCACTGAGATGTACTCACTTCTATGTTGGCAGAGCTGGGCTGATCTTACCTGTGAGAAACATTAAATTTTTGTACTATCCTTTCCCCATCTGCTAACCAGATCTGGACGTTTGTGATGGGCTCTGAATCACTTAGTGGTACTGATGGAAGAGCTCTTTTCTGAATATCTCCATGATCATTTCTTCCTTTAGAAATTATTCTTGGAGTAGCACTGGAAGGAAGAACCAAACAAGGTTATCCATTTCACATAAAAATCATCAAGTTAGAACAGTCTTGAACTTACGTATTTAAAGAAGGTTCTAAATTGTGCCAGAGATTAATAACACCATATTCCTAGGCTTGCTGAACATATAAATAGAGATTAAAGTTTTAGTAGTGGGATACAATGATTCTTAATATGCTGCAAACAGGACACTGAGAGGTAGATTATCCCATTTTTGTTAATGGAAATATATTTTAAAAGTTCTTAAAGAGATGGGGAGAGATTTCAGGTGATCAAGGTCTTAATAGGATTAAGCACAAATCCCCAAGAGAACTTGAGAATGCTTCATATGTCTATGCCTCCTTCCCCATTGGGAATGAAGCAAGATATTTTCAGGAGTCTGAGTAAGGAATTTTTAAGCTAATGCTAATTTATATGCTTCTCAAGTAATACTATGTAACAGTCATCATCCAACTTAACATTCATGCTTAGTCTAATAAGAAAACAATTAAGTTAGTCTTGATTTGGTTCCCCAACATCCAATTTAAATTACAAGAAAACTGAGTGTCTGCAGATACTCTCTCTTAGTTGTGAAATATTTGTTGATTTTTTTTAAACACAACGCATTACCCAGCGCCAAAAGTATATATAAGGGAGTACAGAAAAGTGGTTGAATAAAAAGTCTCTAGAATATAAATTTAACAAGTGAGCCTATTATAATTATGTGGCCCGCCAGTGTAATTTCAAAAACTGAAGGTTAAATACAGCTTCCTCTCTATGCAAACTAACCCTTTTTTCCTGGCCATTAGGTAACTATGATACACAATACAAAATTCTAAATCGGAGATGTGCTACAATTCAGTGAAATACCTTAAGTTTTTTAAAGATGTGACAATACAAAACAATGTCTTAGGATTTCATCTGCACTTACTTATAATTTGTCTTCTGGAGAAAGTCTACTTAGAAGTCATATTTCACAGATTTCATAGACATTAGGGCTGGAAGTGACCTCGTAAGATCATCGGGTCCAGCCCCCTGCCCATGGGGCAGGAAGTCAACTAGGGTCAAAGGAGCCCAGCAACATAAATGTCCAAATGTTTCTTGAATGAGTCCAGAGCAGGTGCTTGCGCCACTTCTGGGGGGAGTTTGTTCCCATTGGACCTTGTCATCTCTTGGGGTGCTTTGGTGAACACACGTTTCCCCCAGGTCCTGATGTACACCCCTTATGTACTTATAGGCTGCCACAAAGTCACCCCTGAGCCTGCGCTTCTCCAGGCTGAAGAGTCTCATAGCTCACAGCCTCTCTTCATAAGGCCTTTTTTCCTGCCCTCTGATCATGCGCGTGGCTCTCCTCTGGACTCTTTCAAGCTTCTCCACTTCCTCCCTAAATTGCGGAGCCCAGAATTGGATGCCGAAGTCCTTGTCTATTTTCTGGAGAGACCCCAGGACTTATGCCAAAAACCATAATCACTAAATACAGAAATCCACTGACTAAATCTAAGAACATGACACAAAAGCCTTACCTAAACTCTTTAGCACAGAAGTTCCCCCAATAAAGATTCTGATGAACCTAGTTTTGTTTCTGGGAATGAAGAAAAAGATTCCCTAAAACTTGTTAAAATTGATGCATAAAGACCTCTAGGGACTGAAAATTAAGGAAAAAGTTGTACTTTTATTTTTTGACTTAAAAGAAATACCATTGTTCTAAAAGGCCTGTTAATCAAGTGAACATATGAAACTATCTCAAAGATGAAGATCTTTTCATCTGCCCCTCAATGTGGACTAGAATTTTTCATTACATTTTCTAGTTTTCCCCAGTCTGACGGCAAAAGGCCTGACAGTTTTACCTGATGAAGTTACAGAACAAATCTGAATGACAAGGAGTTAAGTCAATCTTTTTAGTTAATGTATTTCCAAGGAGAGCTTTAAGATATAGTTCTAAAACATAAGAGGAAACAGAACCAACATTTTCTACTGCAATCAAAACTATTAAATGCAGTGAAGCAGGTGTACATAATACAAAAGACCATAAGCATTAATTACATAGGCTAAAATTAATTAGGTCAGACTCAGAACTAAGTCTTATTTGGCTCTCACGTGTAACATAAGAAGAAAAAAAAAGACAAGGGGAATAAAACCTAGTGTTATTTGGACTATATCCAACAGATTAGAAAACACTTTGCTGCCTCTCCCTCAAACAACACTGCCATTGAAGTTACCATCAGATTGACCCAAACCAGGACTACAGGATTAGTCTTGTCACATGAGTCACTATTGGGGGCAAGAATTAGCTCAAGAGGAGAGCTGATAACAAATGTTGAGAATTACCAATGTTAGTAAGAAAAGCTGCAAGTCACAACTAGGTCATCTGGTAGGCAGAGAACCCAGCACTTCAGTAACTGAAATCATTACGGTGACAGAGCAGGAGCAACTAGTTTCTATCTACAAGATCAATCTTCTTAACCACGCAACAATTCATATATGGGGTTTAGTAGCTTGGTCAAGATTTAAAGATGTCATTAAATATATTTCCCACCCCACCTCCACTAAGAATAATGGGACAATTAAAGGGAAAAAACCCAAAACAGTTTAATGAGCTATAAGTAATTTCATTGCTCTCATCAATTTTACTGGGATCAGTTATATAACTGAACACCGAACCTGCTAAATCAAGAGTCTCTTGCTCCTGTAGTCCCATTTTCTTTATGTCAGTGTCATCCCCTCCAACCCCCTGCCCCCACTTCCTTTATGAACTGAACATAGTATCATAATAGTATCATAGTAGCTAGGGTCAGGAGGGACCTGAACAGATCATCTAGCCTG